CTGCTGTGAGTTTCATCTTTTCTTTAATGGAAGGAGACGAATACATCTGAGGACGGCTGCACATCTTTCGTTAGTAATTCCAGCGCCGATGTGGCTGCCAGCGTTTCTACTCGCAGGTGAACGAACAGCGACGAGTCCAGACGTCGGCTTGTTGAGGCGCGTTAAACAAACATCAGAGCTAAACTCCAACGTGTCCTCGTTCAGGCCGCAAAGTTTGACTGCTTCCAGAGCAGGTTGGATCTGTGACCACATTTATATTTGATGCTTCCTGGAAATAACAGTTTGAAAAGTTAATGCAGGATTTTACGAGAGGTAAAGGCAGAGAGGTTTTATGGCGACATAAAGCCAAAGAACAAACTCTGTGGAGGCAGAGATGCTTGATGTGAGCTTCACTCTGAGTTTTGGCCTGTTTTGGTTTTTATTGTTTTTTACAGTCAAGTTAAAAAAATTGTGGAAAATTATTTCAAATATCTGCACATTTACCTGATTTAAATACAACAGAATAGAATATTTATATATATATTTATACATGTCTGTTGTCCACATTTCATGTCTGTAGAAGTTAACTATCTGGAGATATTCAACCTTTAAACGGCTTCTCAGGTCACGTTTTTCTTTAACCGTAAGTGTTTCTGTTTAAACGTCAGTAAAGCGTCGGACTTACGGACACAGAGGTCTCCGCTCTCGTAGAACCCGGGGCAGCACTGGGAGCGGCGCCGGTACATGGTTCTGACTCCCCGTCTGTAGGCCGTCTTGTAGCTGATCCTGGACCAGAGGCAGGAAACACAGGGTTAACAGGGTTACGCTGGAGGCCACGAGCGGTTTACAGACTTCTGATTGGCTGTTGGTTTACATCAATTACAGATAAGATCCAGTAAAGTCACAGAAGAAAGAAAAATAATAATAATTTGAATGTTCTCTGTGGAAAAACTGGTTAAAACTGTCAATGAAGTTCACATGAAAAATTCTGAAACTATTCTTTACGATGTGCGACTGTTTTAAAATCAGCTAAAAACATCATTATCTTATCATAAATTCAGGAAAAACTATTAATTACAAGCTAACTGTAAAAACAACGATAAAAACAGGTTAAAACTATAAATAATGTCCACATTAAAATCTGTATTTTTTACATATATTAATTAATTATTTTATAACATGTGACCATTAAATTGGTGACAATAAAACAATATTTTTACAATTTTTATAAAAACTTGAAATATTATTATTTTACAGAAATGTGCTGTTTTTTTGTGTTTACACAGTTTTTTATCATTGTTCACAGAGAATATTTAAAAAAAGGAAAATGAAAACTTCAATTTGCTGCTATTTGACTGATTTTAACGTTTATGTCAAATTATGAAAAACATCCAAAAAAAAAAGTATTAATTTACGTGTTAACTAAAAAACAAAAAAAGGTCAATAATAAGAATAAATTTAACATCAGAACTGATTTTATAAATTAGTTTTTCAACAATATGTGAAAAAACACAAAAACGACAATCATTTTATAGATCTCTGCCCTTATTTAAAAGAAAACAACATATATTTTAAAAAAGGGTAAATAATTTGTTAAATTGTTAATTTACAGACTTTTCTTTTTTTTTTAAATTACAAAAAATATCGACTAAAATCATAGAGATAAATATTAATCTACATTAGAATCTTTGAGAAAAAAACAAACTGTGAATCACATCAAAAAACTGTATTTTTACAAATTTATTCTTTGTGTGCAAAGTGTGACAACGACAATATTACAGTTTTATTGTTTTTAAATCAACTAAAAATATAAAGTTTATGAAGCTTATTATTTAAATCAACTACACATATAGATATTTGCTGTTTTTTTAACTTACATAAAGACATATTGTTGTTTTAATCACATTTATGCTGCCAGATTTTCACATTTTTTCAACTAAAATGTTCATTACAGTTAAATTATTCCAGCAGAAAATGACTTTTATTGTGAAACTCTAGTCCAGTTTCTACTATCAGAGGCGCCTCTTTGAGCTCCGTGACCTCTCGGTGAGTAAATCAGCAGCTCGGCGTCTCTGCTGTGATCACCTGTGAAAGACGAGCAGCACTTAAACGTCTCCTCGCTCAGTCAAGGACGCTGATGTTTGGTGACATTTAGCTCTTAGCTGGAGGAGCTAACGGCGGCCTATAAAGCTTAATGTGCTCGTTAAAGCCGCCGGAGTCGGACGGATGTGTACGAACTCCGGGACTGAACACGAACTCCTCGCGCTGATTATTACTGTAAACCAGCAGCGCTCATAAAACCGCGGCTGCTGAGATCCAGATTTCTGCTACTAGATGGCTAAACATGGCAGCAGCTCACTGTGAGGCTCCGCGTAGCGTTAACAAGCCCAATAAAAACATTTAATAGTGATTTAGTGAAGCAGGACGGAGGATAAACTCTAAATACTGATCATAGAAAAACATGTTTTTACAAGACAGACGAGAAGACACTTAAATGATCTTATAGCTGCTTAAAACTACATTAGAGCTCCTTTAAAACATTCACCAAATGCTAAATGATGGATATTAAATGTGGTTAAAGTGTTTGTTCTGGTTCAGGATTAATCAGTTTAGACAGAATTCACGTCACTGCTCCGTCTCTGAATTTGTTCAGAGTTTAATTATTTGTTATCTTGGACACAAAACTAAAACATTTTAGCTGAATTCTGACTTTTTCTTGTGTTTTTATTTTTACCCTCAAACAGCACCTGTGAGGCCATGTTCAGGGTTCAGCGTCTCCAGAAACAAATCTAGTCTCCATCAGATCCAGATGGTTGAATGGATCCAGCAGAGGACTCAGGTTTTATTATTGGTCCTTAAATGTAGTAAAGATGGTAAATGTTCAAACCAGGTTGGTGTCGTGTCCCCAGAGAGTTCCTGTCAGTGTCTGTCTATGGATGGATCCATGGTTCTACTAGAACCCAGTCTCTGGTCACATGTCACCAACTGTTGAGGCTCTAACATCAGTAGAACCTGATGTGGTGAAGCTGGACCAGACAAGGTTCTGGTTTTTGGACATTCTGACATACCAGAATGCCAACATGAGTCCATTTGGACCATTTTTATGTCATATTTTGACAGGTTTTAAGTGATTTGGACCATTTTGAGTCCCACTGGCCCCACTGGAGCCACTGTGGACAGGATCTGAGTTAGTCTGGACAAGATTCAGGATAATTTGATCAGAGACAGAAAAGCTTCCAGCAGATCCAGATGATTGAATGACTCCAGCAGAGGACACATTTTTAATTGTTGGCCCTTGAAAATGGAAAATAAATGCAAAATGACTGAAATGAAGGTGGTGCTGTGTCTCCAGAGAGTTCACATCAAAGGAAGTAGAAAGTAGGAAGAAAGTAGCTCATCAGGTTCTACTGATGTTAGAACCTCAACAGGTGGTGGAATGTGACCAGAGACTGGGTTCTAGTAGAACCATGGCTCCATCCATAGACAGACACTGACAGGAACTTTATGGATTTAAACTATTTTCTATTATCAAGGACCAACAATATTCATGATTTTCATGTTGGACAATTCTTTTACCAATTTAAGATCATTATCGAGTCACTTTGGACACATTATGAGAACTTTTGGACAAGTTCTACCTGTTCTGGGCAGATTTTAAGTCAGTTCTGACCAGTTTTGAGTCATTTTGGACACATTTCAAGTGATTTTGGACGTTTGTTTTTACACATTTTCTACATGTTTGACAGATTTTAGATAAATTCCAAGTCAAAGTATGTCAAAACCAGAACCTTGTCTGGTCCAACTTCACCACATCAGGTTCTACTGATGTCAGAACCTCAACAGTTGGTGACATGTGACCAGACTGGAGTTTTTCTGCACTTTCTTCCATTTTCAATAATTCAAACTGTGTCCTCTGCTGGATCCATTCAATCAATCAGATCTGCTCTAAACTTTTCTGTCTGCGTTTTCACCACATTTCTGTTGGAGTTAAACTTCTGGAGATATCGAACCCTTAAAACGGCTTCACAGGTGAGAATAGATCCCAGGTCTGGAAACGTGAGGTTCTCCATATTCAGCTAAATGATCGTAGAGAACTTAACTTTTGGTCCCAAAATACCAAATAATTCAACTCTAAAGGGAAACAGACTGACCTGAAGTCTTAGTTAGTCGGAATTTAGTTAGTTAGTGAATTTGACATTATTTTTCTATTTCATTTAGGATTTTTCGTTGCTTTTTTTGCTGTTTTCTATTTTAAAAAGTCATATTGCAGGTAGGAAATGTGCTGCTTTAATTCAATATTGATTAAAACAGACTGTAAGCCAGCTGGTCCTGGATCAGGTCTTTGTGTCGCCTTTAGAGGCCATTTAGCGACTAAATGAATTAATCTCCTTTTGAAACATTCCTTTTGAGAACATCTTTCACATCTGAGTGACTTTTTATTCATTCTTCTATTTCTTTTGACATTTTTCGTTGCTTTATTGCCGTTTTTTTTTATAAATAAAGTGTATTGTGGGTGAAAATGTGCTGCTTTAATTCAACATCAACACTGAATCTTTGATATCTGAGTGCATTTTTATTCATTCCTCTCTTTCATTGCTGATTTCTATAGAAGTAAAGGCTAATTAAAGGTGTGCGTACCTGTGTCTGGTGCACTTGAACCAGTTGAGGATGTCGGTGCAGCGGGTGTAGTAAACCTGGTCGAAGGGGTGAGCGTAGGACTCCTGCACCGTCACCGCGTAGCTGCAACATAAAACACAGCTCAACACGGAGCCTTGGAACAGATTAATTCACCATCCTGAATAAACTTGCGTCATTATTAAATTAGCAAATCAGCCTCGGATGTGCAGCTCAAGGATTTCTCCAAATCAGCGTCTGAATGGATTCATTATTCCTCAAATCTAACACACGCCACCTTTTTTTTTCTTTAAGTCATTTCCTCTCATAAACATCAGGATGTAAAGTATTGATCCGAAGAGCTCGGAGGTGTTTTTTAAAAAAAGAAACTCTTCCTGGAAACTTTGGGGACCTTTTGTTCTGGCCATCGACGGCCGCTCGTCCCCCGTGTTGGATAAAGGTCACTGAACTGCGTCTAACCTTTAGTGAAAACTGTAATAATCATCAGAGCTAATATCCATTTGCACGACTCGTCCTGATTGCGCGGAGAGTTTATCGATCACAGCACCTGCACTCAGCGCCGCTCTCATCGGGAGCATCGCGGTGCTTTTACCCGGCTGAGTGCTGAGACCACTCAAGCAGCCGCATTAGCATCGCTCTGGATTTACAGCCTCCGCGGGTCCCCAGGAGGAAACCTTTTCCCTTTGATTATTGGCAAAGCCTCGGCCCTGATTTGTGGCGGGGAGTCCATTAGTTCGCCGCAGCGTCTCCGGGAGCCGTTATATCATTTTTTTTTTTTTTTCTGGGATCGGGGGTCGGACCGGCGGCACTGACCTCTCCCAGTGGCTGCAGACGTTGGGGTCGTCCGGGTTGAGGGGTGTTGCTATGGAGACGAGGCCCAGCAGGTGGAGCCACAGCAGGTGAGAAACGGCGGCAGCCCCCATCGTCCTCCAGCTCCGCCCGGCCCTGCACAAACAGGAATCAGAGCTTTAAAGTCACACAAACACAAAAGAGTTGAAAATGTTCTGGTCGTGTTCAGATGAACTGGAGCCTGTTTGAGTTCCAATCTGAGCCCAAAGATCAATGATTAGAGAAGATCAGGGTAAGTTTTTAAGTGATTGGTATCAGCTTTAACCCTTTATTGGGCGAGGAACCATATATGGTAACTTCCTGTAAAAATGGCAAAATCACATGACTTCATTCAGCCAATCAGTGAAGGTCAGGCGACATCACAACACAGTGGCTCTGGCTTCGGACCAATCAGGAGCGAGCTTCTACACGTCTCTATATGTGTATTTTTAACAATAATTCAACCACGTACTAGTTAGGTTGTTTTTTTAATCCTAGGAATCGCACACGAACTGGTTTAACTTTGATTTGCACCTAAATCTGAAACTTTTTTTATAAAATAAAAAAAAAGTCCTCTTATATCCACCGATAAAACTCCAAGGTTGAAATTTCAAAGTACTTCAGTGAGTTCCCTGTAAATGCTCAAGCTGTGACACTAAGTCTGTGGCGGGACGTTAGGACGCAGGTAATCATCTTAATCAGCAGCACGATCGATCAGTCAGTTATCGACTGATAACATCGGGCAGCGGAGACATTAATCCTGTGCTGATGTTTCCGTTTGAGTCAACAGACACGTGATTTAAAGTCGTCTCTGTGATATATGAAGTCAGTCGATCTTGTCTTGAGCTCTGGTTGGAGGTCATTGACCTCCACAGACGTCCGTCATGGCCGCCCACTGCCGGCTGATCAGAACCATCGACTGCTGTCGTACAGGTGAAATAAGGAAGAGAAAACTTGGTGGCAGGATGTTGGGAATGTAGAGATCCTGCGCCGCTATCACTGTTCTGGTCAACAACACTGAGGCCTTAGAGTGGTCTCTGGTTGGACATCGGAGCGCTGTTGGTCTTCACATTAGGCCCATTAACCTCCACAGACGTCTTTGTCATGGTGTCCCACTGCTAGCCAGCTGATCGGTGTCAGCTTTAACGTCAGTCCGATGCTTCGGTTTGTCTCCAAAAGGACGAGAACGATTTGATGCAGGACACTCAGGATGTAAGTTTAGAATAGTTTTAACTTAGAAGATCTTTCTGGGGCCACAGTGCCGCCCTCATTTCAACATTTTCCCACTTTTTTTTTTTTTACATTTTCAGGGGCTCGTTCCAGCAGCTGTCCAAACGCTGATCCGGATATGCAAACACTTGTTTATTTAAATTGATTTAAGTTATTGGATCCTGAAGAAACATCCTCTCATCCACTGTGTCTGTACAGCAATATGACAATAAACCTGATTTGATTTGATCATAATTAAAAGTCTGTCCTCTGTTGGATCCATTCAATCATGATGGAAACTATTCTGTGTGGGTTCTCATCAAATTAAAGTCTGTGGGAGATAAATTTCTGGAGATATCGAACCCTTACAACGACTTCTCAGGTAAGATGTTGGTTTTTAAGGGTAAAAACACAAAAACTGATCGCAAATCAAACTCTAAAAACTCTGCAGAACTAAGTTTTGGGTTCCAAACAACTGCAAAGTAAACTGTGAGCAACATGCGAGGCGTTCATCTGACCCTCGTGTTGTCTCCCTGAAGACTCCTCCGCCGTCATTTCCTGTCCTCGTGCCCTTTGTAGGAGCTTTATAAATGGAAGCTGTGATTATTATAATTATTATCATAACACTTGCATTTAAAACTGAAATTTGCATAAAAGAGGACGTCGGCTCGCCTCGGTTTCATCTGTCTGCACAGAAACCAGAGAAGAATTTGTGAAGCTGTTGACTGGCTGCTGAAGAGGAGAGTCTAAACCGGCGTGGAAGGAAAAAACGTAATTACAGTGATTCACAAAATTGTCCCGGAGCAGATAAACACGAATCAGTGGAAGTGATACGAGGCTTTGTCACGTCCGGTTGGAAATGTCACGATGCGAGGAGCAGCAGGAAGCGGTGACACCAGAGTGGAGACATGAGATCTCCTCAGATGTAACAGGAGGTTTTACATTATGCCCACGGACAGCTGAATGCACGTCCAGGGGAAAGAGGGAAACCTCCCGAACTGTGATGCAAAATAAAATAACAGAGCAGTAGTGAAACCGCTGAGAGTCTGACACGAGCTATTCTGCTGCTGGGGCACGAGTCACTCGCTGCTTTACATAAACATCAGCGTCAGTCTGAAGCGAAGCCGCCGTCTCCAAACTCAAACAGGTAAAACTGACGAATCTCTGCACAAATAACACGCAGTAACCTGCCGAAGCCCAAAACCGGCGCTCTGGAAAGACACGGTGGCTTCAAAACCCTGCCAGAGCTGCACCGCTCATCAGCCAGAAGAAGCTAAACTGAAAAGAAATGTTTGGTTTAAAGCTTCCTGACGCGATGGAACGATCTGAGTTGTGTAAAGAATAATAATCGTCTTCTTCGTCTTTGTCTTCTTGATGATTTTAAAATAAAATCACCCCAAATGGTCCAAAAATGCTCGTCAGAGAAAAACAAAACATACAGGATGAATAAAATAAACGCAGCGAGACTAAAAAAAAGCTGCAAGTTGTTGAAAGACGTGTTCAGCTCTTCAGAGTCGAGTAAAAAATGTAATAATTCATATTCAAAATGACTCAGACGTGTCTAAAGAATATAAACCTGAAAAAATGAAGGAAAAGATTGTCAAAAATAACTCTAATTATTTAAAAAAAACTGATATAAAATCACCCCAAATGGTCCAAAAATGCTCATCAGAGAAGAACAAACCAAAGTGGACGAATAAATAAAAGCTTCCATCTGGAGTCACCATGTAGTCGATCTGACGTGTTGATTTCAGTTTTTAATAAATAAAATAAATAAAGGAAATCAACTTTAATTTTCTTTTTTAATGGTAACTGACAGAAGACGTCTCTGGGTTCTCTGTCCTGCTTCAGGTTCTGGTTCAGGTTCTGGTTCCTCTGAGCTGCAGGACTTTAACAAACAGTGAAGGAAAATAAAAAGGAGTAAAGAACAAACACCCAGAAGCTGCTGCTTGAAGGTTAGAGGGTTAAAAATAAAATGATTACTTTAATAAACAAACTAAAGTAGTGAAACAAATAAAGGCGACTTGGTCAAATTCAAATTAACATTAGTAATTAAAAACCATCAGTAAAGATCTCCAGGGACTGATCTTGGTGTTCAGGCCTCGTTCATCAAGCTGCTGGATGCTTCAGAGCATAAACAGATGAAATGAGTGTTTGTGGTGTTCAGGCTTCATGTGTCTGATGTGTTTACTACACGTGGAGGCTCGACTTTGACAAACGGCTGGATTTTATATAGAAAATAAAGATTTATGGCGTCTTCAGGGCTGCTCTGTTTCCACGCTGCTGTGAAAAACGAGCCACAAAGTGACAGGAGTGAAATAAAACATCAGAGTTAAAGAAGCACTGATTCTCAGCTTCTTCTTCTTCTTCTGCTACCGTCGGATGAATCGCCGCCTCATTTGCAGCGAGGACGTGCAGATGGAGACGTTCAGCCTGAACGTCTGCCACGTGTTTGTACAGTGAGGCTTCCTGGCAGCGTCCCGGCCGTGACAGTGACAGAACGGAACCGATTCCTGAGCGGCGCCGACACCGACAGGCCCGCCGATGATGAATAAGCGGCTGAGTGACGGAGGAGGAGCGGTCCGGGGCCTCCCTCCCACGCCGTCCCGCTCACCGCTGACATGATGATGGCGGCTTGTGGAGTGTTCTCATTAGCCGGAGCCACCGGGAGGCTTCCTGCTTCCTGCAGCGTCCACATGTCAGGCTGCAGACAGGTGCAGCTCAGGTGAGGCGACAGCTGCATCGCTAGATGATCGTCTCAATTACACGGGAAAGAGGAAGTGACACGTCTGCTGGACACGTTTGGTCGAGCGTGAGAGCTGATTCTCCTCGTTCACTATTTATATTCTGTAAACATAAACTTCTTCTTCTTCTATACTGTATGAAACTAAATGACTGAACTGAAGTCATCAAGTCATTAATTAAAAATACATCAAATAGGTGACAGCAGCTCCATCACTGGTCCTGTTGGTCTCCATCAGCCTGAACATCTGGAGGTCTGGACTCTGACTGGGCCTCCAGAACTTCACCTTGTTGTCTTCAAACCATCTCTGTGGAGCTTTGGCTGTTTGCTTCGGCTCAT